TATGCTTCCCCTCCCAGACTTGTGCAGAAGTAAAAATAGATTTTTAACCCACTTCATTCTACATGGGTCTGGAATAGATAATAAATAATGTTTTGAAACAATAGGAACAATCTAAGGGGAAAAAATCCAGCAAGTATTAGTAGTGACTAAAGTACACAAACATAGAAAATACCTCACATTGCCTGACCATTGCTTAATCTAGCTTGGTATATTTTCCTATCACCATATCAAATGTAAACTGATATAAACCTATAGAATCACAATGCCTTTTTTCAAGAAATGATACTGCCAAACTCATTGCCATGATATTAAGGTGATAACCTAGTTAAAGAAATCTGCTGATGAAACAAGAGTTTTAACTGGTTAATCACTAATTCATGGATTATGTTTGCACATGATTAAATACTGTAGTTCCAGAATAAGACAATGGTATATGTAATATGTACTATACTGTCTTATATTTTTCCTGCACATGAAGGAAGGGGAAATGCCTCTTCTTAGGTGGCATTGTTCATCAGCATTTTTAATAAATACTTTTACTACAAATATGAATATTTAATTAACTGAGGGGCTTTTTTTAAAGCCACATTTAATTAGTGAATTATTTAAACAGTAAAACCCTAAATACATATGAATGAAAAAATTAACATGTTCTTGTAGAAGGTTTCGTCAATAGATATTTGGTTCAGAAACCTTGAAGACTACTGGGCTAGATCACACACCAGATATATTTTAATTTCATTGTCGTGTGTTTCAGGTACATTGCTGTGAAAACACTGTTTAGAAAGTGAGGCTTTCTTACTCACTGACAGACAGGTCTGTGAGTTTAAGAGTATTTGTACACGGGGTACAATACACTTGTGCAGTACTAGATCTCTTCCAAATAGCTGAGCACTTACTTCTGAGGTGCTGAGCAATGGCTGGTCATGCAGCCTTTTTCACAGAATTTGACTAAGGAGAGAACAGGACTGGCAAATTTATTTGGCCTGTGACTGTCATCACATAACCCTGTTGGATAGCTGAGTGCCCCCACCAAAAAAAAAAAAAAAAACCTCTTCCAAAATCTTGTGATATCATTAAATCTTGTAAGATTTGGGCAAATCTTGCTCCCTGATCTTGCGAGTTCTCCATAGGAACACTGAAAACAGATAAGCTGGTAATTTGGTTAGATTATAGTCATTTTATAAATTTATTTTGTTTTGTTTTAGAAACATGTCTAGATGCTGTTTGGGGTCAGACTGGGTACCTTGAAATCCATGGATACGATTTCTGGCCCTCATAAGAGGTTAAAATGTATTTATGTAAACATTTTATACCTTGCCTTTTACTTAAATTCTCACAGCTTGCAACATATTGCAATAATACATGCAAGGAAATGCATCAGGTAAAAGGCAGGTGAATCAGACCCGTGACAGATCATTCTGCTTCTTTCTAGAGTTAGTTGTATGGATCAACAAAAAGGCCATATAAACTAAAATAATATACACAAATAAATTGTGAAGCAAGGGATCACTGAAAGAATCTTCGTAATCCCTCAAATTAGAGACTTCTGGATATGCCAGAACAGTAAGAGATCACAGTGTGGATCTTTTGACAGGAAGAAACAAGTGTCCATGAGAGGCAATTCAGAATTCATAAAGCACCCAGACACAACCAGACTCGTGCAGTACAACATCCTTGGTATATACACTTAAGAGTGCAGCTTTTGAATCCAGCCAATTGTCATCTTCAAGGGGGTTTGGAACAGATTACAATTGCCTTGATTAATCATACACTGAATGCAAGTTTTCTGTTAATCCCCATTGATCAGTTTAATTCATATAATCATGGATTAATGAAATTGTATGGTCTGGTTTCTTTGAAAAATAGTAAACCTTGACACTAATAATAACGAGCATAGTTTGATGGAAAAGCAGGTCACAAATGGAACTCTGCAATATATAGTTCTGAGTGGTGTGGAAACCAGACCCTTATTCTCTTGTCCTCCATATTTTTTCTGACGATAATGACAATTTGCAGAGAGTTGTTGACACTTACAAGTTGCAGAGGGGGTTTTTTTTTAGGGAAGCATGACTACGTAAAATGAAAGGATTTCGCTTGTTTCAGATCCCTAGTTTAGATGTGCCTACTCTGGGGTATTCCTATCTTGTCCTTGAGCTGAGCTCCTCCACAGCTGCCCACTTCTTGGTATGTGAGGGTGGTTGTTTGTTCAGGAGTTAAGAATATCAGTGGGCTTGTTTCCAGTAAGAGGAGACAGTGGGAGGAATAGAATATTGTATATGCAACAAAAGTTTATCAAGACAGGATGGTGCTTAACACACATGTTCATCTAGAAGCGTTGCGACTGGTCTTGCCTTCTCTTTGTTAGTACACTGTCAGTCCAAGATATTTTGTTACCTGGAGTGGAGCTTAAGGGGAGTGCATGTAAACACACACAGCTGGGCCAGCACTTAACTCCCCCCCCCCCAGTTCAGAAGCCAATTCTTGTATTCATTGTCATATCTTGCCCTCTCTCCATACTGCCATTCGAAGCCAGTTACTCACCTTGGTGCAGAGCAGGCTTGGATCTATAAATGGAGAAGTAAATAGGGACTATAAGCCATCCCTGGCAGGCACAGCCTCTGTATTTTTAGGATAAGCAGCAGGTTATCCAGAGAAAGGTGCACGTGTAGTACTGAACAGTACCTGAAGGAGGACAGGCACAGGAGATCATGCTAGATCTGTCAATCCTCTTCTTCCTCTCATTTGTCACTCATTGCTTGTGACTTGGCCTGCATTTCCTGTTTGCTGGGTGCAAAATGCCCAGCCTTCCTTCTGCAAGCCAAATGGTTATCGTAGGTCTGTTTGTGGGTCTATGGATTTTAGTATCAGAATAGGGTTTTGTGATTTAATGTAAGAGCAGGGCTATGCATTTTACATTCACATTCATACACAAAGACACACACCAGTATAAACAAAAATGCACAGTTTCTCTTGTGTTGCATAATTTATTCTGGTTTTGGTAATAAGGGGAGCAATGCGTTCTCCACCCTTAACCACAGGAAATCTTATTCAACAACTCCTCTGCCTTCTGAAATTTCTCCAGGCTTTGCCCATCTAATTAAGCCTTAAGAGCTGGTAACTTGCTGTTCCAAGAGTTGTAAACTAAGATTCTTAAACAGCTATATCCTGCCATCATTACTGCGTTTCCTGACTTTCCTTGTTCTGTCATGGAATGATGAGATTCAACGATCAAGAATAGAGTTTAGCTTGGGAACCTTGATTCATTTTCTCTGCCCCTGCTGAAAATACTCTTCAAGGCCTTCTTGGTGGGTGTTCTCAGGCTTCGGAACTTCCTGGACCATCCTTCTCTACATTTAAAATAAAAAACTGGTTTTAAAAAAAAACCCCATCCAGCTGGTTTTCATAGTACGGTTGCCTTCCCATACATCTATTGTGATTGTTTTTTAAAGCCCCACAATAACTTTGTGTTGGCTCTGAAATTTCCAGTTGGGCAATACATTTAAGGCCAACTATAGTGTCGCAGAATGTTTCTTTTAAAGCCACATATAGATACTAGCAACAAAATGATAAATCTTTTCCCTCTGGAATTAGCTACTTGTATCATCCTCTTCTCATTTTTTTTCCTTGACTGAAGATGGAAAATAGAATTGGAGGAGAATTAAAATAGCATATTGGTGGTATTGCTTATTCCATGGTGCCGCTGAGAAGTATTTGGCTACAACTCCCAGCTCAGAAGAAGAACATTCTTGGATCAGGGCAGAAGCCTATCTAGTAATTCCACTTAAGAAAAGTTGGCACAGATGTTGCTTTTTGCCTATATACCAAAATCATACAAAAACATATTTGCTTGCCCAGTGCAAACAAGCAAGCAGGCAGTAAAAATCAAAAAGAAGAGGAGCAGCTAGCAACTATGGTCATGAGGGAGTAGGCTCTGAATGAGAGAAAACCAGAGAACTGTTGTTGAGTTATTAACATTTTAACATAAGCTAATAATTGAGTAATTAAAGAAGATGCCTTGCCCAAGGGTCCCCCAAAACATGGAGCTGACTCTCATATTTCTATCTCCACCTCATTCACAATTGCTCAGGATTGTAACTTGGAAGTAGGTGGGGAATGTACTTTATTCTCATGGCAACCCTGTAGAAACAGGGTTTACATGACACAGTAAGCGTACTGTAGTTTGTTTGTTTGGAGGTTAGCTGTTGGAAGCCTGCCAATTGGTTAACTCACTTAAACAAATCATGGCTCAGAGTGGAGGAATACAATGGGTGGCCTTTCTGAGACTTTGAGGTCCTATTTGAACATGATTTCTGAAAATAAGGCTTAATTTCATGCCATTTTGAGGTGGGAAACTAATGAAAACAATAGTGTAACCTATTCCACAGTTAAAAAGCAAAGGAAACTCTATTCACATGTTGATTTGGCCTCACCTATTTTGCAGCCTTACTACACCAAAAACATCCTATGGGATATCGTGTAGGCACTACGTGAAATCTTGTAATTTCACGAACCCAATGCCACTATTGAAAAGGCTTGTTCTCTTGTACCCACCAGCCTTCCCAACTTGGAAAAAGGTCTTAGTTGACAGCCTTTCCTCTAAACCTCTGGAAAAAGCTTCAATACATGAAAATAGGGGCACTATGGGATCAACTCAGTAAGTTCTTACAGTTACGATCAGGGCACAAAGCACAGGCAATCTCAGCTTCATGGATTTTAGCCTGACTTGACAAAAAAGGAAGATGATGGGAGGGACTGGGCTACTATCATTCCACCTCTTCTATTGCATCCCACCACATTTTCCCTCCAACTGTTCTTATCCCTTAGTGGTGATCTCAGCTCGCTCTTTGCATGATTTCTAACATGAATAAAGTTGTGGGCCCAGAGCTCTTGACTGATGAGCAGCTGACAAAACACCCTGCACATATACAAAAAACTCTCCAACCCTTCTCAGGGCAAGCCCTAGGACTGATAAGAGGGTTGTTATCTTTCTCTTGCAGGAACAAACTTGGCACCCTTGTGGCTTCATGAATGTCTGATCCAGGCAGCTGCACGCTGCAGATTCACAGGGCTGGTGCAGAGGTAAGGGGAAGAAACATAGCAGCTTATCGGGGACCAGATGGGCAATCCCACCCTTACCAAATTGGGTCTAAGAAATGGAGGCAGGAAAAAAGGAAAAAGTTTCTGGAAATCAACCAGAAAGAGAAAGTTGCAGACTGTTCTATTCTACTGCCCCCTAGAGAAATCTCCCTTATCATCTTTTGGGCTAGGAGATGAGGCTAAAAAAGTGAAGAAGCTATAGAAAGCCTACAGAGTAGGGCTCCTGGAATTCTTTCTATCCGTTTTGCCAGTAGTGGCCATAAAAAGTGTTTGTATTTCATCTGTGTAATAAATTAATGTGCTTGTCTGTGTTTCTGTTTTTGCTTTCTCCTCGTGTCACATCTGTGTGTTTTTGTGCCCAGATGGTCTGCACGTGCCCCATTCTAGGGCGTATGACCAAGAAGAAGGAGAGCTTAAAATAGAGCAGTCAGCGGCATTCTGAGTCACGGCCCAGTTGCTTCTCCTACTGGAATATCCTGGGAGATATATATTTTTTTCTCCACAGCCCTGGTGGGGTCCAACCCATTTTCAAACTTGATCTTTCTTTAGCCAGCTCCTCCCATCACACTTGACCTTCAGGAGAGAGTGCTACTTCATCCAGAACAGGCCACCTTCCTAATATCCAGGCCTGTGAATCATTGGTTTCCTGGATTCAGCTTCAGTTTATTGGACCTCATCCTGTCCATTGCATTGTCTCCAAGCAACTGTCAGCCTCTGATTCATGTGGAAAGGAGAGACAGAGGCATGACCAGCCTAGAGACAGAGGCATGACCAATGGCATTATGAAAGGCAAGGTATTGTGACAGTCAGTGCTGGCAAAAGTGGCCCTAACTGGGCCTTCAGTGTTTAAAACAACCAAACCTGGCAGTGGTTTCCTGCAAGGCCAGCATTTGCCTAAGGTGGCACAGAGGGAAGGAGCACAGCAACAAGCAGAAGTGGGCTGTGGGTGCGGCAGACAACCTCAGCACATACTGACTCAAGTAGCCACCAGATGGCAGCAAAGAGATGCCAAACCCTCTATCTCTTTCCTGCCATCTAGTGATCATCTGGATTTCTTTCTGCCTCTCTTTCTCTCACTTTTATTTGGCAGTAAACCTTTTGCCACCTTTTTCTCAGCTTTGGGTGTTGAACACACATACATAATGTTTTATAATAGTTTTGTCTGGTCTTGTGTCTCTTTCCTTCTGGCCTAGCTGGTTTCAGCCCCCAGGCAAATCCACCATCAGCCATAGAAGCTCACTAGGTCTGGGTAACTTCGGAGCAGTTATTCTCATTCAGCCTGGCCTACTTCACAGGATTGTTGTGGGAAACATTGGAGGTGAGGGCATCTTGTATACTACCCTGAGCACCTGGAGGAAAAGTAGTATATAGATGCAATAAACAAATAAATACATAAAATAGAGCAGGCTGCTGAGCAATTTGCTTGGTCTGCTTCAAGAATAGCCTTGAGCAGCCCCTCCAGCACCCAAGAAAGCTGCGCTGGGTGGTTCACTGAAAATGCAGCAAATATGGAAAAGTAAGCCTCCTTGGCAGCAGCATCCCCTGCCACATTATAGTTGCCCTGTACATTCTGAACTCTGCTCAGTTGTATCGGCTGCAAGACTTATATCATTCAGGCTCTGATTGTGTACGATTTGTTTAATTGGCTAAAACTCCTCAGGGGCATTCTGGGTTCCTCCTAATCAGTGAAAGGACATTCAGGGCAAAAGTATCAGTGGCCCTTGTCATTGCTCTATTGTAGAGTGAGACCATAATCGCTTATTCATGAGCTTGGATAATCTCCCAGAGCAAGTATCCCAAATTTCATAAGTCTCCAAGTGCAGGTCATGTGAATTTGTTCCTGATGCTTACAAGGGAGAGAGGCACATCAGAAAGTGATCCATTCATGTTAATGGGATGATCCTTGCTCTTCAACCCCTGGCTTACTCCCAATCCATCCTGCTCCCAAAACCCAGATTGAGAATAGGCTCTACAATATGTGTTGGGCCTCTGATATTGTCAGTGGTGGCCATAAAGTCCTGACTTGGAGTTGAAAATACCTGCTCTGACTCTCTGACCCAATACTGGCACAGCCTTTAGAGCCAGTTCCAAGACTGACTGATTTCCTGGTGAGGTACAGAATTCCTACACTGTAAATGTCTCTAACTTCTCCCCACCTGGCCTACTCAGTAACTGGGCACAATTGGGCCAGGCCATTCAGCCAATTGGGTCTCAGTGATGCAGGTCAGCCTTTTTTTAAAAAAAAATCTTGGATGAGTGCTGTCTTGTTTTGAACTGACCCGGCAGAGACTAACAGCTCTACAAGATGAGAGAGGAGGCAGCATCTCTGTACCTCTAATGCCCTGACCCTCAAATTCCCCATAACCCTGCTGATTACAGTAGATCCAGATTTGAGGGGCAAAATTTGATTCAGAGCATATGTGGGTAGGTACAAAATACCTGTAGAAACACCCTAAAGCAGCTGTGCCTTTGCCCAGGCCTGCATGGCTGCCACTCATAACTGGCACACAATCCCAGGAAAAGGTACCTTTGGTTTATAAAGTTCCCAGCAGGTACTATTTATGAATCCACATATGCTCCAAATTGCCCTTTGAATCAATATTGCTACTTTAGACCCCCTGTGGCCCACCTTCATTAAGGCACATGTTGCCTCCAAGAATAGACAATGCGTCCAACGGAATTGCATAATTGGTCTAATTCTATATACCATCTCCAGGCAACAAAGTAGAAAACCAGTACTGTATAGTCCACACTGAGCAAAGTTCTTAATGAAGGACTACAAAACAGCCTGCATAGCTCCAAGTCAACCTCAATAGAACTATATGTGCTCTCTCTCTGTATAGTACATATGTGACATGTATTATATAGACAGGTGTTGTCTATTAGTCTATACAAACTTAAACATTATGTAGTATCTACTGTTCAGCAATACTTTAATAAGGACTAACTAAAATGATACAAAAGAGAATGCAAGCTTTTGTGTTTGTGTGTGTGTGAACGTATCACTGAATTAATCAAAGCCCAATTCACAATTGGTTTTGTTTTCTTCTCATACATCAATAGGACTATGATTGCTTTTTTAAAAATTATATTTTAAATATATTTTATATTTAAAATTTTAAAATTATATTCATGTAATTGTTGAGTTTTTGTATTGCAAATACTGTATTGTTTTTAACTTGACATAGCCTCAGAAAGATTACAAAAATCATAATCAAATAGTAAGAAGAGATACAGACAGTAGATAGATATTAGAATGCATGTATTGAATTGATGACTTGCCATAATCTGCAATCAGCCTATAGCTTTTAAAACAGCTGATTAATAGATTGAGGCTAAACTCACAGCTTAATGTAAAGCAAAAGAGAAAGTTTGGTTGGTTGAAACACGGTAAGCTAGGACATATTTCTGTCATTCTGTCTGATGTGAACGGCAAACTATGATGATAGTTGTCATCAAAGTAAGTTAGATGGTTGTTGGGGAAAGGTTAAGATAGAACAATGGTTTGCTAGTCAAATAGCAGAGATCACAGTGGTAGATAATCTAGTACACACCTCTCCTCCACCCAACACACATGAATTTGGATGGAAGTCAGATGTTTCACAAAGATGTGCCAAATGTTTACCCTAAAAAACTACCCAAGCATCCTGCTAACTCATAGGTAGCAGAAATATTCAAGATCCGTTTCATCTGATGGTTTCTCCTTTTCCTATTACAGAACTTTGCTGCCACGGCTGATCTTGGAGGTACCCTGCTGGAGCAGACACTGGTCAGAAGTCGACCTGATAAAATGCCACCCTGCCCACCCCAGCAGGGATGGGCTCGGAGTGCCTTCCTCCCTTTGTATAACCCCCTGGCAGGGGGGGAAGCTTGCTCACAGGGGGAAATGGAGTTAACCTGGCAAGAGATTCTCTCAATCTCAGAATTGCAGGTAAGCATGGGGCTGACAAAATATGAAATACTATTATCTGGGCAGCTTTGAGGATAGGTTGGATTTATTGACAATAGTCAAAGTAGTAGCTGAAATGGGAAGTTTCTGCATAGTGCAAGGCAATGGGGAAGGAGGCAGTAAGGTGAAGAGGATTTGTTCAATACAGGTAGTCCTTGCTTAACGACCACAATTGGGACTGGCAACTCTGTCACCAAGGTCTCAGTAATTAAACAAGACATCACGTGATTGCAACTTGCAATTTTACTGCTGGCTTCTCCATTGACTCTGCTTGTCAGAAGCCAACTGTGAAGCAGCAAATGGCAATCATGTGACTGTGAGACGCTGCAGTGGTCAGTTGTAAAGGCCATAAACTACAGTTTACAAAGTACAATGGCTTGGTTCACATTTTGTCCTTAGTCAAGAGGCAAACAACATTATGGCTTAGCATGATGTCTGAACCCAGTCATAATATTTGTAATGAAGTTGGGCAGCCCATAAATTTAATAATAAACAAAACAAACAGCCTCTCTTGCAGGAAGTAGATCTTTATTTCTCCTTCCCTTGTCTTCTCCATCTGGGGTCAATTTACAACCCTTGGCCTTGTATAAAGTGATTCATTCAGATCTTTGGCAAGAATGGTCTCCCTTTTCCCTGGCAGCCAGCTGGGTGAAGCTAAAGAAAAGGGGAGAAAAACTAAGAGCAAAATCTGTCACACACAGTTTCTGCAGTGGGCAAGGTCAAAAAAGAAAGTGATTTACAAACTGTAAAGCCCTTGGTTTTCTAACTGAACACACCATTACTAGAAGAGCACTTTTCTAGTCTTAAACCCTGAACTGAATGCTGTAGCTGCACATTGCTTGCTTTTGTCTCCCCCCCCCCTTTTTTTTTGCCTTTAGAAGAGGTGGTGTATTTCATTTGGTACTTTTGCGGACTTTTACAGCCTTAACATACTGATATTTCTTTTTCTCAATAGTCATGTTCTGGCTGCCTTTTTGCTGGCAATCATCAAGTTCACTAATAGTTCAAATGATTTAGATCAGTCTCAATCTAGAATTTCTTCCTTCCGTTAATGACTGAACTCCAGGCACCCACTCACCAATAGCTATGCTGGCTAAAAGGTGCTGGGATTTCAGCAAAATTGGGCAGCTACTCTACTCTTCACACTGTAAGATGTATATTTTCAACTTACCGATGAGCCCCTTTGTTGCACCCAGGGCAGGTGTAGAGCATACACTTTGCAGGGATGAAGATAGCATTAAGGAAACCTCCTGCCCACATTTTCTTGGGAATAATTGATTTTAAATCGGTGGCCTTCATTTCCAAATCGATATGTAGAAGATTGTACTGTTTTGTTTTGTTTTGCTTGTAACTTTATTTAGAAAACTAATCAAGCTACAGATACAGAGTGAGGAATATCTGACTTGGCAATGGATAATAAAATATACAGTAAAAACAATAACCTAGAGTAAAAAAACAGTAATTAAAATTTAAACATATCACAGCAGAATTAATAAACATTAAAAAGAGGTAAGAACAAATCAAGATTCCAGCAACAACTTTTGTATATACTAGGGTAAACAAACAGAATTTGGCCCATTAAGTTTTGCAAAAAGGATAACTCTTTCCCAAATTGAATCAATGATAACTTTTCTAGTCTATCCCAACATCTCCCAACTTTTATACATCAATTTTTCCATAACAACAATCTTCCATAATTTTTTCATACCAGAGATCTAATGATGGAGGCTCTGAATTTTTCTAATATTGTGCTTTATTATTCCGTTATGGTCCCAATATATGTTTACTGTCATTATTTAGTGAGACGACTCAAAGAACTGAAAACATAACTGTTCAGTTCATGATAGTTGCTGCAAGGTTGGCTGAAGATTATACTGTTGAAGTACTCCGTGGAATGGGTGGAGCACATCCCACAGCTACAAAATATGCATTTGTGGGGGTTGGTCCCTCCACAGAGGAGTGTACTGAATCCAAGTTGCAGGGTGGCAGGTATCCATTACATCCATCTGCCTTTTTAATCTTGAATCTCCCAACACTGCCCCCATTCAACAGTAGACCCTGGGGAGAAGTGAGGTGGGGGAAACCATGTACAATGGGGGATCTGTCCGATGGGATGAATCATTCTTTTGTTCTTGGGGGAATGCTATCAACCCATCTTAAGGGGCTCGGCACCTGCAGTCCTTTTGAGTGCCCCTTTTCTTTGCTTTCTCCCCCTGCCCTTTCAGTGATAAGAACATTAGGTAGGGGGGAAGTTATGCTTGGTTTGGGAAGTTATGTTTGTATTACAGTAACATACTAAGTCAATAGCTAAATAGAGAAAGCAATTTTTTTTACCTAAAATGCTTTCAATGACATTTCTCTTGGAAAAGAGTATTGGGAACACTTGCAATTTAGTGAAAGAAACCAGAGAGGATTTTGAGATTGGACTAGGGTATAGGGGATTCACTGTCAGAACACAGTCTGGGCAAACCATCAGAAATTCCTTGAATTTGACTGAAATCTTCCCAAACCTCGCTTGTGCATTTTTAGCGTTCTTTACTTGGGGGTGAGGGGCAGGGGGAGCCTCTGCGATTTCTTTTCAACATGCTTTTTTCTTCCTGCAGGGTCTTGATATGCCAGCTGAGAGTTGCTATGATCCAGCTTTATGTGGTCATTCCCAACAGATGGTACCACCTCCTAGCTATGGGCCATGCACAGGGACGGGAGATAGTTCGGTTTCCAATTACAATCACCCTGCTCCAGCATATGAGCATTCCTACCCAGAAACTCTGCCTGCTTCTTGTACGCTTTACAGCTACACTGGCATGCTGATCTCTTCCTCTCTTGAGCCTCCAGGACCTGCTACGCTAGGCGGATATAAAGGGGTACCAGGGATGATGTTGGGGAGAGAGCTAACTAGTGGCTATGGACCACAGGGACCTTGCAAGCTCCAAGAAGATCTGGAATCAGACTCTGGATTATCTCTTAATTACAGTGATGCAGAGTCACTGGAAGCTGAGGGACTGGAGTGGGCAGAATATCCATCCCTCTATCCTTTGGACCATACTCCAGCATACCCTCTATTGGCCCCTGTCCCAGAGATGCCCTTTCCCGACCACCACCCAGAACATTCTTTGGAAAAAGGGCGGAGCCCACGGGGAGAATTAGCTGGTAGCAGGGATGAACGTCGGGCTCTAGCCATGAAAATCCCCTTCCCTGTTGAAAAAATCATCAACCTGCCAGTGGATGACTTCAATGAGCTGCTGTCACGCTTCCCACTGAGTGAGCCTCAGCTGGCACTAATCCGGGATATCCGCCGCCGTGGCAAGAATAAAGTGGCAGCTCAAAATTGTCGCAAGCGCAAACTAGAGACATTGGTGCACCTGGAGCAGGAGCTGGATGAACTAAGTCGTGAGCGACAGCGCTTGTTACAGGACCGTGGAGAATTTAACAGGAGTCTGACACTGACCAAGCAGAAGCTGGGAGCCCTCTACCACCAAGTCTTTTGCATGTTGCGGGATGAAGCTGGCAATGCCTACTCTCCTGAGGAGTATGTGCTGCAGCTCACGGTTGATGGCGGTGTCTTCCTTGTTCCACGCAACAAGCAGTCAGAAAGTACCAATGGCTGAACTGAACAAGCTGTGGTGGAAACTGGGGAGATGGAATGGAGTCAGTTGACCCTCACAAACACCTCTCTTGGGATCTGAGGCTACCCAAATGTTAACATTTGAAACAGCAGGCAGAATAGCAACCTGAATATCACTATTCATTCAAAACTGGGTGTCTTTGAACTTAATAGCATTCAAATTACACAGAACTATTTTTCATTTTGTTAGGAGAAAAACAGGGTTTAATGAATACAGTACCTAGAATCTCAAAGTCCACGCATACAGCCTCCTAAAACGTAGAACTAGCCAGTGTGGCCAATTGTGAAGGATGATGAATTATAATCCCAACAATATTTGGAAGACTGCTTATTTTGTAATCTTCAACCCTTTGCTTACTTTGGTAGTTTGAGCCAGTTGGCTTCATCCTTGTATACAATATATAAGGCACTTCCTAATGAAATGGAGTATGCTCAGATTATGGCTTTAAAACATTTCCCAACCTACTGGATTACAATTTCCGCTATCCAGAGCGAGCATGAAAAAGCCTACTATAAATTAACTGTACATCCCTTTCTACACATTTCCAGAATGTTGAATTAAAAATTTTTAAAAACGGAAGTAGAACTCTGCTAAATCCTAGTTAAGGCTATACTGCATAGAGACATTGGAAAATACTGTTTGTATTCAGAACTGTATGATCTAAGTGTGTTTCCCATTTTCTTTAATCTTGTCATACATTTTCAAATCTGCTGTTCCTTTTCACAGCACTTGCTAAGGCCATTTCCACTGTACATCAGTCAAAAAAGAATTGGCAGCAAAGGGTTTAAAAGATTTATTATTTTTAAAGGCTACCGAAAAGGCAGAAGGAATCTGTGTACTTCTAGGAGCTTACCACATTATCCCAGCAATTAGAATAAATGATGCAATCTTAGAAAAGAACCAAAACACGTACTCTCTATATTTCCAGCATGGATTAGCAAATTCTAAGATTATCAAATTGCATAGGGAATCTAGTAGCACCTTTTCAAACTAACAAATTTTATAAAAAGGCACAAGCTTTCATGAGCTGTAGCTCACAAAAGTATATGCCTTTTTAAATGTTAGCCTGAAAAAGTGCTATCAGACTGATTTTTGGCTATCATATGGTACTTTCTCCACATTGCCTCAGTACATAACATTGACATTTTTTAACTTGTGAGCTGAATGCAATGTGAAACTTGTTGCAGAAGTTGTCCTAATGTCCATCCCACAAAACCTTGTTTTTAATTCACATTCTGACTCTTCAGTTATAAACATGGATGCCAAAACAATCAATAAGATGTCTTTGAACAAAATCTATACATGTGGATAGTCATCTAGATCTAGTTTCTAGCTTTGTAAACACAATAGGATCTCTGCTGCATGTAGTATTCTCTGGGTACAGCTAATGATCTGAAGAGTTGTATGTGTCCATTGTCACAAATAGATCACTTTCTGGTCAGCTTTACAAATGGCTGGTTAAAATGTGACTCAGGCATCTGATGGATCCCAGAAACTATGATATGTACTTGCAAAGCTTTTTATGTCTGTTGATGTTCTGTTCATCATGGCTGTCCTATGGACAAAAAAAAAAAAAGGCCTCCAAGATACTTGACTGTCATTCCTAAGTGCCCTTTTTCCTCAGAGCCAAACCAGCCTGTTGATTTACCAAGGAGTTCAGCCTGCTATGGAAAGGATGGGATGACAGCTAGAAGGCAAGGGAAGAATATATTGGCAAATATATTGAATACTGAGAAATGACAAAACGAAGTTGATAAAAACTGATATTGTAAAGACAAAGCCAGAATCAGATTACTTTCTTATTAGCTGCAGAGGGAACATAAATCATATACTGTAGAAAAATTACTCAAGAGTAAATATTGTTACAAAAGAAAACTACACATAAAACAACCAGATTAATTACAGTACCAAAATCCCTGTGTGTTAAATTGCCTGTAATACTCCATGACTAAAATACTGTCATCTGGTGAAAAATCTGTCCTTTTGTCTGAGGGTGGTAGTACAACATAGTATGAAGATAAGAAGTGGTTTCAAAATGCCAAAGGAAACTTGATACTGTGTTTGCTGGTCTCTTGGGTCAGAAGCAATAGAGATCAAGAAATAAGCCTGTTTTGCTCCCTCCTTTGCTGCAGAGGTCTGCAAATGGGCTTTTATCTCTGTTCACTGTCGTTTTAGATTTTGGTGGAGCCAAGATTTGAGGTCATTGAGGAAGACAAAGCTATTGCTTTAAGAAAACCTTGTCCCTCCTATTAAATGGAAGGGACTGTCCCCAAGGTTTTGAGAGGATTGTACCTCCTGGTTGATGGGATGGACTCCTGTGTTTAAAAGAAACAATTTTAAGACCTCCACCAAACTCTCCTCACTAGGCGATCCATGTAATTATAGCCCAAATATTCAATTTCTGCAAAAGATGATTTCAAACTCCAGATGCACACAGATGTTACTGTTTACTCCACTCGAGTTTTGGCTAGGCTGTGGCATAATGCTTTGGTGACAGCTTTTAACAGGAATTAGAAAGCCCTGTTTTGCAGTGGTTCTGGTTGGTCTATCTTGACTACTAGAAAAGGCATGTTTGCATAAAATGTAAAGGTGGTACAAATGCATAGATTTGCTTTACCAGTTCAACTATAATACCTAGAAGTATTTGGCAAGTTACATATCCCCTATATAATAAACTCCAGGCCAACTGGTTAGGAAAGTATTAGTGCCAGAAACTCAGCTGAATGACAAGCCAAAGAACTTGATTTTGAATGATATAGTTTGGGTATTGAGACAGCTCAGGGCATTTGCTTTTTTTTAATTGCTGTTCTGCATAAATGAGGGCTAGTCATCAGATGTAGGGGAAAATAGCATCTACAACGGATATGAGTGGTCGATGCAGCCCTCCAGCATCCTTTTGTGCTTTGCCAAGAAGATAGGGCTTTTGTGGTCTGCTAAGAAAACTTGTCATTTGGGGGAAAAGGAGTTAAAATGGGTCAAGCCTCACAGAGAATTAAGGCACTCATTTCCTCAACCTTGTTTTTCAGATCCTGTCCCTATTTTTGGATTATGACCCTTAGCATGCCACGCAAACCCTGGCACTTGACCCAACAGAAGTTACACGCACTGATCTACAATGAAAGGATCTTTCTCCAAAACGTTAAGGGCAAGAATTACTGTTCTCACGTTCCCTAGGTCACTATCAGGCAGCTGTGTGCAGCTCACGGTTTAATGAAGGCCATACTCCCAATTTCTTGCATTTCTATATCATTTTAGGGAAGCTAATTTACAAGGACATATAGGTAAAAATGGCTGGATTTCACATAGTTTAGAAAATGTTTCTGAAAATATCCATTAGTTTGTCTCTCAGACTAATGCTGATTTGTTATTATAGAAGTTTATCCATTCTTCTTTAAGAAGCATATTCTAACATCTTATTAGAAGAGATGTTGTTAGCAAGTCAGAAGAAGGTAGCCAAGTAATTTATATCAAAAACTTTTATTAAATAAAGCTATTCATAAGAATAGATTATACATACAGCTACCCAGCAGCAATTTAGCTTTCTTTGAAAGGCTTATGGTACATCAAGCTGAAGAGTCCTGCAAAACAAATAGTAATAATGAACTTTAAGATTAGACATGATGGTAAAAGCATGGGAAGGGGCACTTCTGGACACTAAACTTCTCATTTCCTAGTAGTATGTTAACTTCCACCACTATGCTAAACAAGTAATCATTAAGAGTTTACCAATTTACCATCTACCTCTCAAGTTAACTTGTGGCACAAGTTCATTTATGTTAGTATATTTCACTTGTATTGGTAACCTTATTCCCACTGTTTAGCATTGTTTTTACCTTTAAAAAGAAAAAGGAAATCCAAAGACATTCCATCTGTCAGGAACAAAGGCATTTTAGCATCAGACAGCTCCTCTTTTCCTACAAAAAGGAAGAAATATTAAATACCACCCACTTTTATTGAGTCCCTATTAATACTTTACGTGAGCAACCCCACCCCCCATAAATTCCTCTGCCTTTATAGCAGCACAGCCAGTGCACTGTGGTACAACACTAAATTGTTTAAGTCAACAAGGCCACACAAAGAGGGATGAAAAGGCAGTACTTTCATTTAAGTACATGTCATTAGCCATGTTGCCAGGCCTGTGACAGTAAAATATTAATCAGCAATGTTCTATCCATCTACTGCTTGTATATTACAGCACTGGGTGAATTAAAAGATAGCTAGACTGGTATTTGCAAGGTAAACTCAGTCTTGGAGAAAGTTTAGTAGGGTAACAAAACTGTATAGGACATAAGTAAAATCTGTTCTTACCTACCAGTACAGTAATATAACCTTTCCTTCCTTCTGCGTCTGACTGCTAGTCCTAAGAGCAAGGATCCTTACTCTCGTCTGACTCCTTCCGATGGTCACTGAGTACTCCCTTCTAGTCAGCAGAAGCCTGCACCTGGCTTATCTGTCCACTCGACTCAAAACACGTGTCTACTCTCAGCTGTAGTAGCGTCTGAGCTGGAAGCCATTCGGAGCTATGCTTGCTAGCCGTTCCTAGTAGCTCAAACATCTGCATGCCTCCCGGTTTTGTAATGCTACTTAGTTTTCGGGTCCTGGTGTGCTCTCCTTTGTTGTGGTTATGCTACCATGCCAAAAACGAGTATTATTTCGTGAATCCTGAGGTCTTGTCAGGATCCACCTGCTATTGCAAACTCAGCCACGGAAAAACCCATCAGGACTATTAATTTTGCATTCTAAATTAAACCAGTCACCAATCAGAAGTTTTATATATAAATACACTTGTACACACACCATATACAAGCACCATTGCAACCATAAACATATTTAAGCACACATTTGTCCTATTTCATAAGACACTAGGATGGAAATGCTACAGGTGTACTCAGATCTCACAGATTAATTGACCAAGGTATAATGTAATTCCATGCCACATCTACACCCCTCCAAATTTTAAGTGCATTTCTATTTCCATCTCATGGAACAGAAACATACTACGAAGCAATGTTTAATGGAACCAGAAAGTAGGACCCCATTTTCTGTGGTAAGAGTTGCATTAAGGGAGAAAATATATGAAATGTATTTCATAAAATGGAAACAATCAATTTCTGGAGTTTCAAAATGCAACTTTAACTGAAATGAGAACCTTCTTGGCTCCCTCACTGGAATGAACAGATTTGGGGATAATTAGGTTACTTTAAGTGCCTCTAGCAGCAAATTAGTAGCACCTTTAATGCTACAAGATTAGTTTAAGAGTGTACCAGTAAGATTCATACTATATTCCTCATGCTGGAATTTCTCTCGATACAAAACCTAGTCTATTTTTGAGAAAAGAGAGCACACTGTCAAATCTTAGTTTAAACCAATGGCTTTTTATAAAATTTTGCTTAACAGGCATCAATTATATGAACTAGCTTTTTAAATCAATGTACAACCTCATGACTCCTCCCCCATCCCCATTAGTTGGAATACTTTTATCCATTTTAGCAACTGTTAACATTTGAGGGATAATCTTACATGTTCAGCTAGCAGTGCATGAGAAGTCATGTATTTTGCTAATCTCTCCAGTGAAGCAATCTGTCCATTTCCATTATAAAAATGAGACTGCAAAAGTAAGCCACAATAACTTCCCAATTATTGGAGATTGCACAACTTTTGACAGTTAGCTGACTGATTCTCTTGCTGTCAATCTCAAGAAGTTAAAAATTTTCTAGTACAGATAAAATTGATACTGTATTTGGAGCAACCCAGATCCAACTGGATAACTGCCTAGAGCTGTCAACACAAGCATGGCAGGCTGTAGTAATGATTTGCCAAATGTCCCATTTCAAGCTGCTCGTTTGAGCTGCTGTGCCCATATGCTGATGTGGACAGCCTTTTTATTTGCCTTTAATCCAGCATATAAAACCTCTTGCCTTAGTCACTGGCACCCTTTACACTCAACCAGAAAAAAGGGGAGACTTGAGCTGAAAAAGCAAACAGGAAAGAACAATTTTCAAGCTACCAAGAAGATGTCCTTATTCAAATAAGGAATACATTTTGGAAGTGGTTCTTCATTGAGGCAATCTCTGCAATTTGTCTTCCATGAAGTTGAACAAGACACAACATCAATAAATTTGGCTTTGAATATAAAAAATTATTGGCATTTTGAGAATCGTTCTCTGCTATTTGACTCTTCACTAAGCTTTTCCATGTAGTGAAAATCAATGTACATTAACTTATAGTAAACTAACTTTACACAGCACATTTAAAAAAAAGACACATTTATTCAGCGTCATGATCAGTCTATTACAGTTC